CAAAGAAAGTTAAATGCCTGTTCATAATTTTTAAATTACATGTTGAAATGATAGTATTTTGGTCATACACAAAATGTCTTATGAAAACTTATCCCACCTTCTTTTGACCTTTTTTTTAAAGATTTTTATTGGGGAATTGGGGGAAGTGGAACAGACAAGTTGCTGTCCTTTTGTTCTTCAGTCTAGTTGTGGAGGACGTTGCTTCACTGGCTCAAGTTGGCACCATCATTGTGCTCTGCCCGGGCGAGGCAGATCAGTAGCCGGCTTCTAGACGGCCGCCCATGGCGGCTGCTGGCTACTCACGCTGGCTGCTGGCTACACATGGTAGCCGTGGCAACCCACTGCAGCAGGGGCTGCAGCCTAGGCGACTCAGGGCAGCCCAGCTCCAGGTTGAGCTGTTGTTCAGCATCTTAGCTGTAGAGGGCAGTGTCACCGGCCCTCATATGTGGGATCCGAACCAGGGCCCTCTGGCGTCCCAAGCCAGTTCTTAACCATTGTGCCACTCGGCCGGCCCCCTTTTGACCTTTTTAATGTGGCTACTGGAAATGACAAAATCACACTTATGGCTCGTACTAGTCCCACCAGTGGTCACCTCATGTACCTCATTCCACCTCAGTAACTGACAGAGCATTTGTAGGTGTGGAACCAGGCATGGGATGCCCCATGCTCTGTGCAGCCATCTTTCTTAGGAAGGGGCAGTGTACACAAAGAGGACTTAGATCTCCACAGGAGGACGAGTGCCACCTATAGCCCCAGGGGCAGAGCTAAGACCAAAGGTGTTTTGACAAGAAAACTTCAGTTGCTTTAATAGAAACTAGTCCATCGGTAATAGTCCGAGATGCCCGGTCCCCAGGGAGCCTCTCTACAAGTGCCAAGCGACCTGATGCTGGAGGTCTTTACAAGAGGCTGTCATGAAGTGACACAGGTGGGACTGTGGGACATGATGATCAAAAGTTCATCCCCAAAACTTTTCTTGCCCTCATCAGAGAAAAAGGTTTATTGCTACAGACCACTCCAGCCTGAGGCCAAGGCCAAGGGTGTGATGGGAAGGGTGATAGCCCAGGGACTGATGAGGCTCCTCTGACTGGTAGAACTTGCCCAGGAGGCCCTGCCAACAAATGGCGGGTATAGACTGGACCACAGGATCTGAAAAGCCAATACCTGCTGTGCTCCTGGGAATTCCAACTGTTTCTACCTCCATCAAGGGATCACTATTATCATCTCACCAGTTCATTTGGGGTCACCCTCACCCCCAGGATGAAAGCCAAATGAATGCCTCCTACAACCTGGTCTGTCCTTATAGGGGAATATTTCTTAGCCATGAAAAGGAGGGAGGCGCTGACACTCACCACAGTGTGGATGGACCTTGAACACATGGTGCTCAGTTAGAGAAAGCCGACACACAAGGCCACACAGTGTGTGATTCCACTTATGTGAAATGTCCAGAACAGGCACATCCACAGAGACAGGAGGTGGGTTAGTGGTTGTTGGAGGCTGGGGAGGGAGTGGGGGTGACTCCTAAGAGGGACAGGGCTTCTGGAATTAGATGAATATAATTATATATTGTTCTCTTGTTGTGTAAGATGTCACCATTGGGGAAAACTGGGTAAAAAGAACACATGGTGTCTGTGTCATTTCTTATGGTTACACAAGAAGAATCCACGATTACCTGGATAAAATACTTTTTATTTTTCTAAAATAAAAAGCTTAATTAAGAAAAACAGGGTGGGGCCGGCCGAGTGGCTCAGCTGGTTAAGAGCTCACTTGGGAGCACCAGCTCTGAGCAGCAGGGCTGCAGTACGGATCCCACATTGAGGGCCAGTGACCCTGCGCCCTCTACAGCTAAGATGATGAACAACAGCTCGACCTAGAGCTGGGCTGCTGTGAGTCGCCGGTGACGGCGTAGGCTGCAGCAGGGCTGCAGTGGGCTGCCATGAGCTACGTGAGTGGCTGGCAGCCAGCATGAGCGGCTGGTAGGTGGTGTGAGCTACCGGGAGCTGCTGTGAGTGGCCGACCAACGACTGGCGACCGACTGCCTCATCCGGGAAGAGCACAATAATCATACCAACATGGGCCAGTGAAGCGATGTCCACCACAACGAGACTGAAGAACAAAACAGCAATTTGTCTACCTGTCTGTTCCCCTTCCCCAATTCCCCAACGCTGTTACCTGTCCCCCAATTCCCCAATAAAATCTTTAAAAAAAACAACAAAAAAACCCAGGGTGGCACTCCCAGAGGCAGATTGGGCTTTTGCCTTGCTAGTAAACATCCAAAGCTACCAGCCCCACCATCAGGGAGAGTGCACAGCAGGCATCTGCACCTTAGGGACCAAAGTGCGGGAACTGACAGCCACATGTGGAACACCAATTCCGATCATCCCTTCTTCCCCTTTTAAACCCACTACTTCACCATTATGAAGTCTCCAAAGAGTTAATCTGCCTCTACCTGAGGGAGGATTAGGCAGACTCACAGCAGACATCAGGTCAGAAAATATCTTCTGAGTCACAGGCTGACTGACTAGGCCGCCCACTCAGCTACTACTCACTGCAGTGTTAAGGGCAGGACTGCTCAGAGGGCATTCATCAGAGAGCTGTGGGCTCCCAAGAGGAAGCCAGGGGCGGGGATAGTCACGGCTGGGACTGCTCCCCCACCCACAGCCTTACTAAGTCACTGGCAAAGGACCTGCACAACCTCCTCTCACAGGCTCTTGCCCTGCCAGCAGGCAACCCAAGGTGCAACTTACTCCCTTTGGAGTTGAGATCTAGTTTCCTGCCTAAGAAAGGGCCATCCTGCTTCAGAAATGATACCACCGTGAACTACAAGTGGGTAGCGGGAACTCAAAGTCACTGAAGGAACAGAACTCGCCCGGCCTCCCCCTCCTGTTTGTCAATTGCACAGAAGTCAGTTTCTGAGGCTGGATACTTTCCAGTGTGGCCAGTTGTGGCTGTTTGCACTTCCTCTTGCAGATAACCCCTCCTCCAAGAAGCCACCCATACCCCCCAAGAAAAAACTGGCAGCTCCTCCCTCTGGGACCTCAGCGGGCCCTATACACAGGCACTCTAAGGCTGCTAACTTTTGTGTTTCTGCATCATCCACCTTCCTTCACATATAAGTTTCTTGAGAATAAGAACACTGTCTACTGTCCTCTGTGCCTCTGGGAATGCTGCACATTTTCAGGACGTGCTTGCAGAATGAATTAATCAGTGAACAAGCAAGCTCAGTCATTTCAAATGTGTGGTCATATGAGTAATCTGACCTTCCAAAAAGTGAAGCTTCTAAAGTAGTCCATTTTCTTAATGTATTCATCATCGAGTCATCACAGAATAGGAACTCTTATCAAGTACTGCCCCCTCATTTCCCGTGAAAAAGCAAAATTCCTCAGTGGAGAAACGGAAGGTTGACAGGTCACTGCAAAGCTTTAAGGTTGTTGCTGGCCCCAGCAGCTAGTTGAGAATTTCACTGGGCTGGCCTGGCAGTGGGACAGCCACACCAGGAAGTGGCCTGCTGACATCAAGTAGAGTGCCCGGCCAGGCGGGCAGCATAGTCTTGTTCCCTGCCAAGCGAGGCCAGGCCAGTGAGGGAACAAAGCTCTGTAGTCCAGAAGAACCCTTCACTAGAAAGCCAGGTCCCAGCCCGGGAGGTCTTATTCACAGAGTTACAAATCCCTGTGGTCTTGCTCCGCTCCAAAGAAAAGGACGACATGAGTGTCTCCAAGTGAACTTTCACCTTAGTACAAAATGCCTGGATGCTGGGTCACAGTGGGTTTAACTCTTCCCGTACTCAACAATATCAGTTTCTAAGATGCACAAATACCATTAAATGTACACTCGGCACAGTCCCCACAGTTCTACTCCTGCACATTTCCTAAGTGAGGTGAAACACAGGTTCATGTAGAAACATGCCCTCGGATGTTTAGAGTGGCTTTATTCGTAATCCCCCCAAAACTGGAAACATTCCACATGTTCTGCACCAGCAGGTGAACGGATCAATGAAAAACTGGAATATAACACAGCAAGAAAAAAGTCACTTTTTATACCTGCTACAACATGAAAAAAATCTCAGGTATGTTTTGCTGAGTGGAAGCAGCCAGAATCACAACGCTGCATGCTGCTGAATGCATTAATCTAACTTTCTGGAAAAAGCAAATCTATAGGAATAGCGAAGTCAGTGTTGGCCAGGAGGTGAGAGGCGGGTTGGCTGAAAAGGGCGGCAGAAGAAACACTGAAGAGTGACGCATTATTCTGCTGCCTGATTGCCATGGATCTGTCGGAACTCTAGAAGCAGATGCTAAACAGAGTGAACTATATACGGCATGCCCACTAAGGATAAAGAATGAACTATATACGGCATGCCCACTAAGGATAAAGAAACAATTAAATTTTAAACAATGCACTGACCAGCCACAGAGGCAGAGAAAGGCGGAGGCTGGTGAAACGGTTGGAGTTGTGAAGGTTCTCCCACTTTGTTTTCGTTGCCTTGGACGTCTCCCACCTGCCCACTGCTCAGGTCCCCCTCAGGACACGCACCGGCGCAGCCCAACCGGAAAAGCCAGAGCCAGGCTCAACCTCGCCTCCGGTGAGGAATGAGCAATACCCCAAAGCGCCGGTGCGCGGCGAGCTGGGAACCACGAAACCCGCCGACCACGGAGAATCGGGGCCAGGAGCCAACACCGACTCCCAGGCGGTCCCCAGTGATCCGACTCCGCCTCCAGCTGCGACGTTCCAAAAACTGACATATTACGAGCGTGCGCGAGGGGCGGGGCGCGCGGGCTTCCCCGCCGGGTCCCCTGGAGGCCCCGTCTCCCCCACCACACTACCCCCAAAATACCAGCGCGCGGAAAGGTGCCCCGAAAACACCCGCCCAGGGCGCCTGCTGCCCTTTCCCTCCCGACTGCACACTGCCCAGCCCGAGCGTGGACAGGGACACCAACACGCACCATGCCACCACCCACGGGCGAGAGGCCGGGCACCCACCCCGCACCCTGCATTTGTGGACTCACCCAGGAGACCAGACGCCTTTGTAAATTTCCTCTTCCTGTCATTTTCCAAGGGTCACTCAAGATTAGGACAGAATGCCTCATTTCCAAGGGTCCAGCCAGCCCACCCACTCAAGATTACTGGACAGAATGACTCATTCTGGTGCCGCCAGTGCTGCCACTCAAGATTAGGCGGACAAAATACCTAATTTAAAAAAAAAGAACTAGAGAGACGAAGAAGGATGTCCTCAAAAATAAAGCCAAACACACTGACAGCTTAAAGAATAAACTCCCAAAAAGAAAAAAACAGAAACCCTGAATGTCAAAACATGAAACACGGGAAGGCAAGCTCACCCGCCGCCCTGGGGGGCGGGGGGCGCCGGGAGAGAACGGGGGTCCCAGCCCCGCACAAGCAACGGCAACCCGGGCTCGGGCGCCCCTCCGAGGCGCGGGGTTCCCGTGGCCGCGTCTGCCTCCGGCCCGGGCTCCCCGCTGCCCACCCTCCGTGCAAGGATTGGGAAAGACAGCGGGGACTCCGGGGGGTCCCCAGGAGTGATTTTGGAATCGAGTTGCTCCGTTGCTCGGTGGGCCCAGCGCGCGCCGCGGGGGGGCGGGGGTCCAGGAGGAGGGGCGGCGG